GTGAGAAGGTCGTGTATGGAGGCTAGATCATTACATGTGAGCAATATATCATCAACATAAATTAATATGTATAATTGAATATGTTTGCAATGATATGTTAGGAGAGAAGGATCGGGATGACTAAACCTGAATCTGAAAGTTTGAAGAAATGATGTGAGTGTTTGAAACTAGAGCCGTGGAGCCTGTATGAGTATGTAGATCGATTTGTGAAGTTTGCAAATGAAGTTGGGATGTTGCTTTTCGGAGAAGCCGGGAGGTTGCTTCATGTAGACATCATCTGGGAGATCTTCGTGATGAAAGGTGTTGGAAATGTCTAGTTGCGAGACTTGCCAGTGAGATTCAGAGCTATAGTTAAAAGAATGTGTATGGTAGGAATCTTGGCGATAGGGTTGAAAGTTTTGTTGTAGTTAACGTCGTATTGTTGATTGAATCCTTGAGCCACCAGGTGGGCTTTATAGCGGTCAACTTGTCCATTTGGAAGCAATTTTATTTTATATGTCCATTTGCAGCCAAGGATAGGTTTGCCAGTGGGAGAGGGAACAAGTGACCAAGTGCCTTGGCGTTGAAGAGCCATGAATTCTTTGGACATTTTTGTCCTCCAATGCTAATGTTGGTTGGCTTGGTTGTAGGACATGGGATTGTCGGCGGAACTCATGGTGGCCATGAGATTGTATATTTTTTTGGGTCTGGAGATACCTGATTTGAGGCAAGTTTGCATAGGATGTGAGGAAGGATGAGAGGTGTTGGCTGAAGAGATAAAAGGGCTGGGCAGCAGTCTGTGTAAGAAAGGTTGGATGAGACGAGGATTGAGTAGTGATAGGTGAACTATGTTGGGTTGTCAAAGCTGGGGGTTTGAAAGGTGCAATGGAGTGGTGGAAGAGGATGTGGGAGTAAGGATGAGAGGTGATAGGGGAAGGGTGTCGGATGGTTTGGAGAGAGATGGTGCGAACGATTTATAGGGAAATATGTGTTCATGGAAAACGATGTGCTTGGATATGTGTATTTTGTTGGTGTGTATGTTGAGACACCTGCAGCCTTTTTGAAGAGATGAACAACCGAGAAAAATGCACTCTTGAGAGCGAGGGGACAGCTTGTCATGAGTGTAAGGTTTCAACCAAGGAAAGCAAAGGCAGCCAAAGGTGCGAAGGCAGTTGTAATTAGGATGTGTACCATGAAGCTTATGATAAAGAGTTTGAAGTGAGATGGCTTTGGAAGGGAGACTTTTTTTTTAAGTAATTTGCGGTGGAGAGGGCTTCTACCCAGAAGGCATGGGGAAGGTGAGCAGCATTTAGGAGGGTTATGGTGAGATCCAGCAGGTGTCGGTGTTTCTGTTCTGCCAATTCATTTTGTTTAGGTGTATAAGGGCAATTAATTTGATGAGTGATGCCATGATCGACGAGAAAAGTATTAAAAGGAATGCTTCTGAATTCGCCACCTCTGTTCGACCTAAAGGTTTTGGGTTGGGCATTGAAATTGTTCTTTATTAGAGAATAGAAATTCTTAAATTTGTTTATCATTTTGTTTTTAGAGTGAATAGGATACAACCATGAGAACCTGGTGCAATCATAAACAAAAATTACATAGTATTTGAAGCCATTAAGATAGGGTTTTGGGGCCGAACCCTAGACATCAGAATGTATTAAAGAGAAAGGAATGGTAGAGACCAAGAGGCTTTATTAAATGGTTGTTTGTGACTTTTGGTTGAATTACAAGAGATACAAATGTAAGAAGAATTGAAATTATTAAGTTCAGGAATATAGTTGACTAATGTGGCCAGAAGACAGTGGTGAGTGTGGCCGAGATGGTTATGCCAAAGCTGATTTGAGGAAGTGTGAGCTTGAAGAGCTGTGGACGTCCATGATGGTTGTATTTGAATTTGGTATTAGCCATTATGAAGATGACCACATAGAAGAGGCCGCATGTCCTGTAGATCATATATGATGAAATCGGTGGAGTCAAAATAAATGGAGACATGATTGTCAGCGGTTAACTTTGAGATTGAAATGAGATTATGGGATAACAAAGGTACATGTAGTAGATTACATAGTTATAGTAAAGAAAGTAAACCTTGTCCGGAGTGTTGAGTTGGAAGATTTGCATCGTTGGCGATTGAGACCGTGTCTGAGCCGTGATAAGAAGAGGATTGGTTAAGGTTCACAATGTCGGGAGTTAGATGAGAGGAAGCTTCCTAATAAATAACCCAATCAGATGTTGGGTTAGAGGTATTGTGAGAAAGAATTGCCTGCGGGGACCAAGAAGTCGTAGGTGCATATTTTAGGTTGCATCTCTGCCAACAATTTAATGCAGAGTGACCGAATAGGTGGGATGATTGGGATTATTATTCGCAGATTGGGATGATGAAGGGGATTGGAAGGATGATCGACAGACGAATTCTTTCCTTTAGAAGGATGGGAGAATTGTCATTCGTGAGGCATAGTGGTGCGATTTGAGAAGAGGACTGTGGAATACGGAGTTCAGGCGCCATTCTTTTTGTTGTCGAGTTTGGAGATTAATTTCTTCGCAACAAAGGAGAGAATAAAGAGTATAAAGATCGATAGGGCTGAGAGATGTACGAATTTTTGATTTGAATGCGTTATATGTGGATGGAATGCCATTCAATATGCAGATGATAATATCTTTAGAGTCGATCTTGGAACTGAAGGAAGCGATGTTGTCGACGATGTTCTTGATATGTGCTAGGTATTATTGCATGATGAATTTTGCATTTGGATGTTATGAAGCTTATTCTTGAGCTGCATCACCCGATAGCGGTTGTAAGGTTGGAGGCGACGCTCAAGAATCAGCCAAACTTCTTAGGCAGTGGAGGAAGAAAGAGCGTATGAAAGGATTGAGGGAGAAATAGTGGAAAGAAGGGCTAAGATTAGGTTGCGATCAATGAGTTGCCAAAGATTGTATTCGACACTGGATGTGTCCGTCAGATATGGTGAGGCACCGGTGAGGTAGCTGGCGAAGCCATTAGTGGAGAAGTATTGGAGAAGTTGGAGACGCAAAATAGCGTAGGTGTCAGAGGAGAGCTAAGTATGAACAAATGTCTTTAGATTTGAGATTAGAAATTTGAGAGGTGGTGGGATGAAGAAATCTGAGAGAGTAGCTGAGATGTTGGAGACGGGATGTTGGGAGGCCGCCGAATCCTGATATGCCATGCCTGGGCTTCTGATACCATGAAAGAATAAGAGCAAGAACTAGAGCATGAGGAAGAAGATGGACAAGGAGATAGAGAGGATTATTTTCTATTCACCAAATGACTATACAAAGGAATATAAATAAAGTAATGAAATCAAGAAATGTAACAGCCATGTCCACATGAACAAGGTGACGTGTAACATGCACTAACACGAGCTACACTTGTACCACATGCCTGCCTACAATCTACCATGAGCGTGCCTAGTCCTACTCAAAGCAAACACATGAACAATACTCTGGCACTACACCTGCGTGACCATGCCTCCCAGGTGTTCCCACTCCAATCCCAATGTCCATGATAAGACCTCTTCTTCCCCTAAACAAATCCACAAGAACAAAGATCTTCTATTTTTCATGTCATCATTTTCATTGCCATAAATCATCAAAATCTGGTTCTGATACCAATTCTTGTGCAAGCGTCACTATAAATATAGTGATTTACATGATTTGACGAAGATACCTATGTCCATGGAGAGGGATGGAGATTTCACTAGATTTGATAAATAAGTAATTACAATGAGCTATCTCTTTCTCTCTTCTTTGCAAAAAACCTTCAAACCTCTCAATTTATAGATTCAAGGAAAAACAATAAAGAAAAAAGCTTCATGATATAATCCCAAATCAAATTAATTAATTAGAAAAATAATCTATTCTCTAACTAAATTACAACAATGAATCATTAAAACTTTCCAAACAAAAGTTTATTTAAATTTTAAAACAATTCTAAATCAACGTCCTTCTCCCTCGCTCATTCATTCTCTCTCTCTATAAAAATTATCTCTCTATCTCCCACTCCTCTTGCTCTCACTCTCTCTCTCTCTCTCTCTCTCTCTCTCTCTCTCTCTCTTACACACACAAAAATTTTGCTCCATCTTTCCCAGCCTCCTTCTCCTACACTCTCTATGTCTCTCTACAGCTTTCTCCAATCTTGCTCCCTATCTTTCATTCTCTTTCTCTACATCTTTCTAGCTCTTCGATCACTCTTTCCCTTCCCTCGCCCATTAGTCTCTCTCACACCCTCTCTCTTGCTCTCTCTTTCTCCGGCCCCCTTTCTCTCTAAAAATACATATCTTTCTGTCTCTCTTTCCTTCTCTCTCACTCCCTCTTTCACTCTATCGCACCTCTCTCTGTCTCTCCATCCCTCCCTAGCCTCCCCCCCTCTCTCCCTCCCTCCCAACCTTTCTCTCTCTCTCACACTCTCTAGCTATCTCACTATATATTTGTCTCTCAATCTCTCTCTCTCTCTCCCTCCATCTACAATATATATCTTTCTCTGCTTTCCCCTCTTTGCTAGCTTTCTACACAATCCGATTACAAGATCATTACAAAGTTCAGATCTAAGTTAATCTTGAAATGAATCATCTATTTTGTAAAACAAATTGAGTAAAAGAAGATATCACCTGATAAGATCTCGTATTAACAAGAAAGAAGAAGAAACCCAAACCAGCTTGGTTCATGTGAGCTCCTCCCGATTCTGCCTAAGTTGCCTGCAAGAAGGAGCTTCTGATCCTTCTTCCCCGTTCCGCCTATGTGCGCATGCAAAGGGAGAGGCTTCCAATCCTTCTCCTCCCTCTTGCTCATACCTGGAATCGCAAGATAAAGAAGCTTGATCTGCTCACCTTCTTCTCCTGTTATAGTAAGTACTAGGCTTCTCAAGCCTTCTATCAAGCACTTGAAGCCTTCGGTCCCCACCCCACCTGTTTAATATATATAAGAAAACAAAACAAGAAGGTGGCTATGCAAGTGGCTATATAAAGCTACACAAGAATAAAAATTAATTAATATAAATTAATTAATTAAAGCATCAAAAATTAAATTCATATTTAACAAATATGAGTTATTACAACCGCCAACAATATAAAAGCAGAACCGACGGTGCTACCAAACTACAAACAGAATGATAGAAGTGCCCCCATCCCTTCTCTTCTTCCTCCAGAACTTCTCTTCTTCCTCCAGAACTTCTACTTCTTGGATCCAAGAAACCCCATCGCCTCGACCAAACCCTTCACATCCTCACCCCATCCACAGTTCTCCGCAACCAACTCCTCCACCTCTGCATCAATCTCCTGCGCCGATGTTTCCCCATCAAAACTTTCACTTAACAGGTCCTCCCACATTGAATCCATTATCTCCTCCGAACTCTGCTCCACGGCTTCAGTCTCCACCTCATTAGTCAGCTCATTCTCCATTCTAAAAAGGAACTCTTCAGCTTCTCCAGTCACCTCCAAGCTCTCCGAAAATGGCGGTGGCAATCTCCTCTTCTTCCCGGGGCTTCCCAAATCCATGCCCCACTCGCCCCTCGCCATAAGCTTATGAGCGAAGTCAGGATTCCGCAGCACTTTCGAAAGGAAAGTCATCGTCTGTTTCTGCTTCCTCTCCGCCACCAGCATTCGCTCCTCCATTGCAACTAGATGCGTTCTCGAGCTCTGTTGCTGCTGCCTCAGACTCATAATCTCCAGCATCAGAATCTGTCTCTCTGATCTCAGCTTCTCAACCTCGCCCTCCAGCGCTAGCTGCCCCACATCGCTGGAGCTCTGACCGATATTTCTCCTTCTTTTAATGTTTTTCAAAAGGTGCTTCTGCCCACCTAAAAACTCCTCATTTGCGAATTCCCATCGATCTGGATCCACCTTTCTGAACCCCTGCATTCATCAAATCAGCTAATTTGATACTCAAAATCAAATATTTAGATATCGGAATGAGTGATTACTCACATAAGTATTGAGCTGACGGATGAAGCTGGAGAAATTGCTGTGCTTGAAATAGCGAGGAAGAACGTTGGTAGCGAACATATGAGAATCCCATACAACGAAGCTATTGCGAGCTCTGCTCCAAGAGACAATGGAGTCAGTGCTTGGATCTTCCACCATGTCGAAGGTCTTCTTTAAGAACGGCGGCGGCGCGGCATCGTGAAGGCCTGGTAATGGCTGAGGCAGCATTGGTTCTTCTTCTTCGTCCTCCTCTTCTTTGACCAGTATGATGCTGTCAAAGGCTCCTTCCATTATTGGTTAAAAGAAAAAAGCTGCGAGCTTGAAACTTCCTATTGTCAGTATAGCCGAACTACGGATTCGCTTTAGTGACGGGTTGGGCGGCGGAAAGAGGCTTTTATTGAATCAGGGGTGGAAGACTCAGGAAGAAGAAGATACAGGGGTATTCTCGTAAAATCGCTATGTGGAAACTTCGTTAGATTATTAGTGGCAAATAAAAAAGTAAGAAATGTGGGTCAGGGATATTTCTAGAAACTTCGGCGGTCCATCAGTGACTGTTGAACGGCGTTGATTGGTGTTGTCGGGGTCCACAGTTCGAGCGCATTATGTTTAACCGCGTGGCATTTTATGAATGAAGGTTCTACATTTATGTGGTAGAATCGCGTAGCGGATCCCGATATATTTTATTTCCCACTTGCATCAACAGATGATTCTGGCAAGTGGATATCTTTATTTTCTTCTAATTATTTTATTTATCATTGATCAGGAATGGGGTCGTTTCACGAAACAGCGATTTTTCTAATTTTAGGAGGCATTTTGTATTATTAGCCTATTGCACGTGTGTTAAGTGGATGTTGCTGTATTAAATCGTCATATATTTATATAAAAAATGTTATTATTATATTATTATTATTTTTTTTTGTGAAACTTTTAAAAATAATGATTTTCTCTTTTTAATCAAAATGAGTGAAATAAAATTATCAATTTATTTTTTTTATATTTACAATATAAATAAATTTATACATTATTATTATTATTATTTAATATAAAATAAACAGATTTCACAAAAAATATGCACAACAATTATGCTGAAAGCTGGATATTTACTTAATACTATAAATGAAAATCTACCGTACAATTAGTTGGATTAAAGCTTTGTTTGGGATAGCATTTTTATTGCTATTTAAAGCAATTTTATAGTACATAAATTTTAATTTTTGTGCTATTAAGTTGTTTTAAGAAACAATAAAAAAGTTGTCCTCAATGATTTATTTGGAACGACTTTCTTCATGCTTTTTAAAATAGCTTTTAGTATAAAAATTAAGCTTTTTGTATTAGAAAGCCGCTTTAAGAAGAAGAAAGAAAGCCGTCCCAAACGAAGCCTAAGGGACGGCTTTTTACTGCTTTCTAAAACGGAGTTTTAGTACAAAATTTTTTATTTTTGTACTAAAACTCCGTTTTAGAAAGCAATAAAAAAGCCGTCCCAAACGAAGCCTAAGTCTTCATTTGGGGCGTTTTTCTTACTACTTTTTAAAATAACTTTTTAGTTAAAAAAATTTTAATTTAAAAAATTTTGTTCTAAAATTTTACTTTAGTAAATAGTAAGAAATTTGTTCCAAACCAAACCTAAGACATAATAACTTATCCAAAGTAGTTTTAAAAGTTTGCAAAACATGGATCATAAATCATGAATACTTTTATTGCATTTCTCATTTCTAAAACCACCTATTTAAATCTATCAATTGAAAAATATATAAGTAAAATTTACTCTAGGATGCTCTCTTAGCCATTCAACAAAATTTGCTGAAGATTTACTTAGTTTATTATCATATGAATTGCTTAACTACTTCTATATTGCTACAAAAAAAATAGCAAAAAATAAATTTATAAGTAAATAGACTAAAAGCTCTAGGAGTCTTGAATAAATTGAAGTATTTACCAAATTAGAACTTGTGATGCTAGGTTTTGCCTCTATTGTAGCAAATTTATTAATCGATTAGAAATATTTAAGGCTACATACATAATAGGAAAATGAGTTATTTTCGACGGAGGAATTTGTTGTAAATCAAAAGATTTCGGTCAAAAAATGATAATTTTTGGCATTTTTGACGGATTTCTGACATAATTATTTGTCACTAAAACATGTATTGAAAACTAGATTTTGTTGGACTTTACATCCGTTGGAAATTTTTTCATGGATTTCCGACAAAAACCATCTTAAATTAAATGACCAAAATTCCTTTGGATTTTGCCGTTTGATATCCAACAACATCTAGAAATCCTTTAACAATGTGATACCTCGCACCAGGTAAATCCTTATCCCTTCCTCCTCTTACTAATACTACAAAATGTTCTTGCTCTAAGGCTAAATATCTACGGTTCAATACGTACATTACAAAGAAGCTAGTCGCTAGTTCAAATTTTCTTAAAGAAAGACATCAAAAACTAGACTTATCCATCTCCGTGTCTCGACAAATTGTATATTTATTGGAAAAATAGTATATTTATTGTTTAATCAATATATCATTAATATATTATATTGATTAAACAATAAATATACTATTTTTCCAATAAATATACAATTTGTCGAGAGACAGAGATGGATAAGTCTAGTTTTTGATGTCTTTCTTTAAGAAAATTTGAACTAGCGACTAGCTTCTTTGTAATGTACGTATTGAACCGTAGATATTTAGCCTTAGAGCAAGAACATTTTGTAGTATTAGTAAGAGGAGGAAGGGTTAAGGATTTACCTGGTGCGAGGTATCACATTGTTAAAGGATTTCTAGATGTTGTTGGATATCAAACGGCAAAATCCAAAGGAATTTTGGTCATTTAATTTAAGATGGTTTTTGTCGGAAATCCATGAAAAAATTTCCAACGGATGTAAAGTCCAACAAAATCTAGTTTTCAATACATGTTTTAGTGACAAATAATTATGTCAGAAATCCGTCAAAAATGCCAAAAATTATCATTTTTTGACCGAAATCTTTTGATTTACAACAAATTCCTCCGTCGAAAATAACTCATTTTCCTATTATGTATGTAGCCTTAAATATTTCTAATCGATTAATAAATTTGCTACAATAGAGGCAAAACCTAGCATCACAAGTTCTAATTTGGTAAATACTTCAATTTATTCAAGACTCCTAGAGCTTTTAGTCTATTTACTTATAAATTTATTTTTTGCTATTTTTTTTGTAGCAATATAGAAGTAGTTAAGCAATTCATATGATAATAAACTAAGTAAATCTTCAGCAAATTTTGTTGAATGGCTAAGAGAGCATCCTAGAGTAAATTTTACTTATATATTTTTCAATTGATAGATTTAAATAGGTGGTTTTAGAAATGAGAAATGCAATAAAAGTATTCATGATTTATGATCCATGTTTTGCAAACTTTTAAAACTACTTTGGATAAGTTATTATGTCTTAGGTTTGGTTTGGAACAAATTTCTTACTATTTACTAAAGTAAAATTTTAGAACAAAATTTTTTAAATTAAAATTTTTTTAACTAAAAAGTTATTTTAAAAAGTAGTAAGAAAAACGCCCCAAATGAAGACTTAGGCTTCGTTTGGGACGGCTTTTTTATTGCTTTCTAAAACGGAGTTTTAGTACAAAAATAAAAAATTTTGTACTAAAACTCCGTTTTAGAAAAATTATAAAATCTATTTTTTTTTAAATTATTAAAATCCACCAGAAAGTCTGCCTGAAATACCGCCACAAACAAATCCGTCGGAAATCTGCCAGAAAAATCTGCAAAAAATATGTCAGAAATATTTCATCATAATCCGTTGAAATTCCGTCGGGAAATCGACGAAAATCTATCCGCCCTAAAATCCTCCATTAATAGGCAATTTTTATGTAGTGTTAGACTTATCTATGTTATATATTATCAATTATATGCATCATATGCAGTTAATACATGTATTTATACCCATCATGGTCTATCTATCAATACTACTATGCACCTTATAATTTTATTTATCAATATATACATGCTTCGGTATATAATTTAGCAAAGCGGGACATATAAATTTAATGTTGTATTTTCATCTTTTTCATATGTTCATTTATATCATTATATTATATCATTATCATTTTCATTACAACACTGCCATCATTTTGAATGGTTTCTTTCAATAAACCATTAAAAGCCATCACTCTCTATCTGTCATCATAATCGATCATCAATTACATGCTATAAACGGGATAACATCACATACCATTTTTAAAGGAAAACATGTCAGCACACTCTCATGCATAGGATATTATATTTAAGAGACAACCCATATTAATTTATTGTGTTGGCAGTTAGCATTCCTTGTTTTCATGAAATAAGTTTTAATGTATGAAATGCAACATAGAATGCTCAATTCTATAAAATGCAAGAAAATTATTTTATCAGTCTATAGCTTCATAAAATCATAGATTTCATTTCAGCTGGGGAAAATTGATAATATTACAGTTAAAATATTTGTAATATTCAACTCTATCATATACAAAAATTATATAGTAAGAGTACGACAAAATAAGGAGAAATACATTTTTATCAATTTAGTAGATAATTAATCCGTTAAACTCAAAATTATTAAAAATTAATATGAGATTTGAGTTACTTACAACTATCAGGAGAAATATCAAAACATAATCTTCCTTCCTCTCCTCCCCATGTCACTTCCTTGTGTTGCAAGCCTCGACAAATGAGACGATGGGAGATGTGGAAAGAATATTTATAACAAAATACATTAAAAAAGGATGTTTGTGGCCTAGCACCTCAACGCTAAGATCCAACACCACAGCTCTGCATGTCAAATCTATAATTACTATGAAATAGAGATTCAAATGCATGTCACAGTGGCAATTTTTAGCACCGTTGTGCTCACATCTAGAACCACAACGCTCCTAATTAGCACAACACCACTGCACTCCTGTTCAAACAAAAATTCCATTTTTTTTTACGCTTTTCATTTTTTTGGGTTATTACACCAACGTTATCTTTAGAACAACTTTCATGTCATTAGATTCTTTCAACTCTATCTATATAATGTGCTGTATACGATGTATATTTTCTACATTAAACCATTACTTTCTCCTGCGGAAAGGCATCAGCTGTAACCAATTACAAATATTAGTTGAATCATTTCAATTGGGCAATGCCTCGTAGTTTTTTTCCTTATTTAGAGTTTTCCATATAAAAATTTGAGTCCATCTTATGACTTTTGCACGTCTTTCTCTTATTTGTATATGTGCTGGATCTTCGTACGCTAGGACGTTAAAAACTCAATCTCTCTACCACCACGAAAGCTCTGGCCTGCAACAATTACTTTCTATGCTTTTTTTTTTCACTATAAAACTCGTATTCTTGTATAAGTTTAATTTATATTTTCTATACCTCATTGATACCTTTGCATTTGGCAATTAACTTATCCAAATATCTCTGCATGATCTTAATATAGATCTAATTACACAATCATCAGATATAAGAGAACATCAATTTTTAATTAGGTTGGATATATCTTATATGAAAGAATAATCTTGGTTAAAATATATTTTAGTGACAAATTAAATTTGGGGTTAAAGATGTCGAGGCGAGCTCAAGTCAGGTTGATTTGAGCTTAAGCTTGATTGATTAATCGAGGTCGAGGCCCAGCTCGAGTTCGATCTTTATTTTATAAGTTTGAGTAGGCTCACGAGTTGGCTTATTTATTATAAAAGAGATAAAAAGATTATGATTCATGCAAATCTTATTATAAAATGACAAAAGAATGACAAATTTTAAGTGTATTTTCATTAATATTTTTTAAACGAGTCGACATAAGAGCTAACGAGTCGAGTCAAGGCTTGTTTAAATTTTACTCATTGGCTCATCGAGTTCAGCTCAAGAGTCGTTTATTGAGCCGATCTTCGACCGACTCACAAAAAAAGATGTTACTTGACCTAATAGTTTAGTGCTGAGCTGTATGTAATTAATGGAGAGCCAGAAGTACGGTGGCATGTCAATTAACCTTCAACATATATTCATTATAGCAATTGAGCATGGCTCACCTTGGTCTGTTGATTGAGAGCTCATTCTACTAATTAAGAGGTCATGGGTTCGAGTCTTGTATATGCGATGTATGTATGAATATGCCTTAATTGATCTAAATGTCCATTTTTTATGGCCATTAAAAGCTATACTTAAAACACATTGAGGATGCGTTGCTATAATTACTTAGCGGAGGACCGTTAACGTTTAGCAGATATGTGTTGACGCCGGAGCTATGTGTTGTATTAAGTTTTTAAATTCTTTTATATAACTTCAGGTTCATGTACTGTAGCACCATTTTTCTTTAGTTTGTTATCTCTCGTCTATGGCCTACTCTGTGGCCTGTTTTGTGTATAAATAAATGACTTATGGATTAATAAAGGGGAGATGGTTTTAGTGCAAATTTAGAATTCCTTTTTCTGGAATTTGTTTTGTATCCTGACAAACGTCAGGTGGTGGTGTTCTTGTTCCTTCGGCGTTGGTCCCAGAGGTTGGGCCCATCCTCTCGTGACGAGAAGACACTGTCTCTGTCGTCTATCTCGTCTCCGATTCTTGCCGCGACTGCTTCAGCCCCAAGTCCGGTATCAAGTGGTATCAGAGCCGGCAAGATGCCGCCTCGACGACAACCTCAACAACCAGTTCAAGAAATCTTGATCGAAGATTTACGGCGAGAGATCACCCAACTACAACAACGACTCGACAGATGTGAGCAAAGAGAACCAGTGAGGCAACAGAATGAGGAAGAAGACATCAATCCCTTCCATCAAGAAGGCTCTAGTGACGATGAAACAGGAAGGCCGACATTTGGACAGAATAATAGGAGATTACCTCACGATTACGGAATCAAACTCGAGCTCCCTGAGTTCGACGGCCGAATGGACCCCGATGAATTTATAGGGTGGTTACAAACGGTGGAGCGAATTCTTGAGTTCAAAGAAATACCTGCTGATAGGATCGTTAAATTGGTGGCCATCAAACTCAAGCGAGCTGCGTCTCTGTGGTGGGAAAATCTGAAAAGATCAAGAAACAGAGAAGGACAGGGTAAGATCACTACTTGGCCAAAAATGAAAAAAGAATTGCAGCGAAAATATATCCCAGAGGTGTATAAACAAGACTTATTCCTAAGGTTAATGCAGCTCCAGCAACAACAAATGACCGTTGAAGAGTATGTCGCTGAGTTCGAGCAGATCTCCCTAAAATGCGATCTAGCTGAACCTGAGGAACATACTATAGCTCGTTTCTTAGGCGGATTACAACCTGCCATTTCCAACGTTGTCCAACTCCAACCGTATTGGACCTTCCAAGATGTGGTGAATTTGGCCTTGAAGGTAGAAAAGCAGCAAAATCGATTCAAGAAAGTTCCTGGTAAGATGCCAATGCCAGATTCGGTGCCAGAAAAAGATAGCAAATTAGAAAAATACGCGGCCGGGCCCAGCAGACATGTCGAGAATCGTCCGCCCCATGTACCGTCTCGTGCTGCCCCACCTCAAACATCTTTGCCTGCACGCAAATGTTTTAAATGTCAGGGGTTTGGCCATATAGCATCCGGTTGTCCCAATCGCCGGGTCATCACCTTGATGGAAGAACCTGAATCAGAAGATACTGCTGCCACATCACCCGCCGAGACAACTAAGGACGAGTTAACATATTTACAAGGTGACGAAGGAAATCTGCTGGTCTTAAGACAAACTCTGAACATACACAAAGGTGAATCTTGGTTACGCCACAATATCTTTCGCACTCGGTGCACTGTGAAGGATCGAGTATGTGATGTGATCATAGATAGTGGAAGTTGCGAGAATGTGGCGTCCGTCCTCATGGTTGAAAAATTACAGCTCGACACCACCAACCACCCGAAACCATACTCGCTCTCGTGGATCCAGAAGACTGCTGAAGTTCAAGTAAACAAACGTTGTTTGGTCAATTTCTCCATCGGCCATTTCAAAGACCAGGTGTTGTGCGATGTGGTACCCATGGACGCTTGCCACCTCCTATTAGGTCTACCATGGCAGTTCGACAAAGGAACCACGCATAATGGCACTGCAAATACGTATTCATTCTGGCACGACAACCAACAGATTGTGTTGTTGCCGTCTCCTATGATTGCACAAGAGGAAGCGTCCAATTCTACTTTGTTCAACAAGACCTTATTCCTCCAAGATCTGAGACAAGCTCAAGAAGGACTTCTTTTAATTTTATTGGAGGAAAATGATCAGCAACAAACCATCCCAGACATAGTCAAGCCGCTATTGCAACAATACCAGGACATCCTAGTTTCAGAATTACCTGCAGGGTTACCTCCGCTTCGTAATGTACAGCATCATATGGAACTCGTGCCGGGATCAGTTCTGCCAAATAGACCTGCTTATCGTCTCCGTCCAGATGAGCATTTCGAACTACAACGACAGGTCAATGAGTTGATTATTAAGGGATTTGTGCGTCCCAGTGCCAGTCCATGTGCTGTCCCCGCCCTCCTTGTTCCTAAGAAGGATGGAACGTTTCGCATGTGTATTGACAGCCGGTCCATTAATAAGATTACGATAAAATACCGCTTCCCAATACCACGCATCGATGATATCTTTGATCAATTACACGGTGCTACCTTCTTCTCCAAAATTGATTTAAGAAGCGGTTACCACCAAATTCGCATGCGACCAGGAGACGAGTGGAAAACTGCTTTCAAGACAAGGGAAGGCTTGTATGAATGAACGGTGATGCCATTTGGCGTGTCCAACGCCCCAAGCACCTTCATGAGACTTATGAATCAAATATTTCAGCCGCTATTAAGCCAGTGTGTTGTCGTCTACTTCGACGACATACTTGTATATAGCCGCACCGAGGAAGCTCATCTTTATCATTTGCACGAAGTCTTCGATATTCTCCGCAGACAGCAGCTATTTATCAACCCCCAGAAGTGTCAATACTTATCTAATACAATGTCTTCACCCGATTGCTTTCTTCAGCGAGAAATTCAACGAGGCCCGAAAGAAATACTCTGTTTATGATAAAGAATTCTATGCAATAATTCGCGCCTTGCACCATTGGGATCACTATCTGCTACCTAATGAATTTATTTTGTTTTCAGATCACGAAGCTCTACGCTTTCTGAACAGCCAAAAAAAATTGAAGGGGAGACACGCCGCCTGGGTAGAGTATATGGGAGCATTCCATTTTGTAATAAAGCACAAATCTGGGAAGTGCAACCAGGTCGCGGACGCCCTCAGTCGCCGATTGAACTTAATTCAAACACTTCAAACCAAGGTTCTCGGCTTCGATTTACTCAAGGAACTGTTTCCAAACGATCCCGACTTCCGTGACATCTGGGCCAAATGCCAACAGGGTTCATATCAATTCTACCATATTCAGCATGAACACCTGTTCCTAGGCAATAAAATATGCATCCCGCAAGGCTCAATGCGGATAACCATTATTAGTGAATGCCATGAGGCTGGTATAGCCGGTCATTTCGGGAGAGATAAAACTCTTTCCTTAGTCAAAGAACATTTTTTTTTTTTGCCACTTCTTCCCAGAGACGTTGATCGTTTTGTAAAGCGGTGTCGAATATGTGCCATAGCAAAATCTCGCAGCCAAAAATTGGGACTATACACTCCACTACCTGTCCCCGAAGGCCCTTGGATTGATGTGAGCTTAGATTTTGTGCTAGGCCTTCCCCGAACGCAAAGGAACAAGGATTCCATCATGGTGGTTGTGGACCGATTCTCCAAAATGGCCCACTTTGTGCCATGCAGCAAGACTCTTGATGCCACTCATGTCGCCGACTTATACTTCAAAGAAGTGGTGCGTTTGCACGGTATTCCCAAGACCATCACGTCGGATCGCGACGTCAAATTCCTTAGTCACTTTTGGAAGACCTTATGGGGTAAGCTGGGAACCAAGCTCCAATTCAGCTCGACGGCACACCCTCAAACGGACGGCCAAACCGAAACCGTTAACAGGAGTCTTGGCAATCTTCTTAGATGCTTTGTGGGAAAGAATTTAAGGCAGTGGGATCTTATATTACCACAAATTGAATTTGCATTTAATCGTTCCACTAATCAAGATACCGGTCACAGTCCGTTCCAAATAGTTTATGGTAATAATCCTTTGTCTCCTCTTGATCTCATGCCTCAGGTGCCGGTCACTCAATATAGCACGGATGGAGATCAACGGTACCAAGAAATTCAGCAACTTCACAAAAATGTTCGAGAGCTTATTCACAAGCATAACAGAAAATGTCAAGAATCGGCTAACAAAACCCGCAAAGCAGTCAAATTTGAAGAAGGAGACAAAGTGTGGATACGCCTACGCAAAGAGAGATTCCCACCAGGAGCTTTCGGAAAACTGAAGCCAAAAGCAGACGGACCATTCCGAATTGTCAAAAAAATAAGCGACAACGCTTATCAAATTGAGCTCCCAGGCGATTACAACGTATCCGCTACTTTCAATGTAGCCGATCTATCCCCATACTACGAACCTGAAGTTCCTCCTACCCCGGTAGATTGACGCCGGAGCTATGTGTTGTATTAAGTTTTTAAATTCTTTTATATAACTTCAGGTTCATGTACTGTAGCACCATTTTTCTTTAGTTTGTTATCTCTCGTCTATGGCCTACTCCGTGGCCTGTTTTGTGTATAAATAAACAACTTATGGAATAATAAAGGGGAGATGGTTTTAGTGCAAATTTAGAATTC